TTTGGGGATTATAGGAGAAAGGAATAATGGGGAGAGAAATAGAAAGGTTTATTTTAGAAAAATATACCTTCAATAGGTTTTAGCTTTATAGAGCTAATGAAATCTTACAGATAGCAATAATAATAGTTAATTTTGTTGAGGGCTATATGTGAGAAAGTACTAAGTATTTTAAATGCCTTATACCATTAATCCTTACACTCTCCCTGGGGACAGGCTCTATTTTCTCCATTTTGCAGATGTATAAACTGAGTCATAAGAGAAGTTAAGTAACTTGCTCATGGTCACACACTAAGTGGTTTCCTCTCACATTTCTCTGAGTCTGAAGCCCTTGTGATGCCACATTGCCAAAGCATTGGGGTCTGTTTTATCTTGTCCTAAGAAGTATTTAATACTGTCATTCAACATTTATTGAGCTCTTAATGCATGTAGAGCACCGCTGTCCAATTGTAAAACCAGTACTGAACTTCAAGGAATCTACTATCTAATTAAGGAGACATATATACATTTGAAAGAGATAAAAACACTTTTACAAAAAGAAAACACAAATTGGTTAGGTACGAATTAATGTAATCCAAATAAATTTAACAACATTAAAACAAATAGCTACCAGTTTCTATTTTTAAACCTTAATAATAATGTGATTTTGGGTTATTACAGGCTCCATAATAAGAGAGCATGGGACTAAATTGGAGTCTGGCTGAATAAGAGGAAAGAATGGCCCCATAGTGTCCTTTTGGGGGATTGAAGTGTCTGGTGTGATGCCTCAACTTTAGCTTCTTAGGACAGGAATGTTAGTGCTTTCAGCCAGGGCTTCTCAAACTTCAATGTGCATATGAATATCCTGGGGATTTTGTTAAAATACAAGTCTGGGGTGGGACATGACTTTCTACACATCTAACGTGCTCCCATGTGATGCCAATTCTGCTTCACAGACCACTTTGTGAATAGCAAGGCTTTAGATCACAGAGCTAAGAATTTGATCATAAACTGTTGTGTAAAGAAAAGTAAATGTCACATGAGAGAGGGCAGCAATTTTCAACTTAAATAACTATATATGTGTTGGTTTTAAAATAATACCTTGTCATCAAAAGTAGTTACAGACAGAGATGATTATAAATACTACTATATAAGATAACTTTGAAGAAAATATAATCACAATGTTCAACAACCTGATAATTATATATGCACAACCACTAAATATTTTTGTCTACTGAGATTAATACCAGTGTTAGAGAAAAATTTTTAAATGTTAGTCTCAGACATTAGTTATTAAAAGCAGGATAAATGATAGCTTAGAATGGAAGGCTCCAGAAGTAATTTTCCCAAGGTCAAAAGCTGGCTCTACCACATACTAGCCATGTGACCTCAAGGCAAGTTACTCCCCTGTTACGCTCTTCCTCGTCTCTAAAATGGGCATAATCAAAGGACAGATCTCATAGGGTTTTAATAAAATATTACATATAAAGCACTTTGTACAGTGCTTAGCAGTAAATTGTTTATAAATTATGGCTATTTTACTACCATTGATACTATTTCTGTCTAAGAAATATTAAGCTAACTGATTTTTAAGGCCTTGCCTTTTCAGTGCTGTAATATGATTCTGATTATATAGTGTGTCAAGGTGTAATCGGCATCTGCCCTCTTTCAGCTTCTAAGGCACTAAGTGATTTATAGGCTGCTTTCTGAGCCAGCTGCCACTAAGTGCTGCTCTTGCATCTTAGGTTGTTTTTTTATCATCAGGTAAATACACATTTAGAAATTCATTCACTCAATATTTATTAAGTAGCTACAAACCAGTGAGCTAAATGACTATTACTATCCACAATCAAAAGCAATTTTATAAATATAAAAGTAACTAGTTCTTGGCCGTGTGTGGTGGCTCACACCTGTAATCCTAGCACTTTGGGAGTCCGAGGTGGACGGATTGCTTGAGGTCAGGAGTTTGAGACCAGCCTGAGCAGCATAGCAAGACCCCATCTCTACAAAAAATAGAAAAAATTAGCCAGGCGTGGTAGTGCGTGCCTGTAGTCCCAGCTATTCAGGAGCCTGAGGGAGTAGGATCACTTGAGCCTAGGTGTTTGAGGTTGCAGTGAGCTGTGATGCCACTGCCCTCATGCCTGGGTAACAAAATGTGAGACCCTATCTCTAAAAAAAAACTAGTTCTTAATATCCATTATTAGTTTCAGTCTCTGTATAATCATCAATGATCAATAGCTTTACCATTACTGATAATCCATCCCCAGAAATGAATAAACAAATTTCTGTTCTACCCATAGGAGCTCTCTAATTTTCAAATAAAATTGTGTAATTAACTTATTCCAAGGTTTCTGTAATTCAGACCTAAGAGTCTCTTGGTCTTAGTTTCTACCTCTGCTTCTTTTTGCTTAACAACTCACATGGCAGCCAGACCTTTCAGTGGGTTAATTAGATATTAGTGGACTAAATTGACCTAGTCTTACTTGGTGGCTAAAATAATTGATTTAATTCTACAGTTTTTTGAGCCTTTCAATAGCAACTAATTTAACTTAAACTAAGTTTTAATATGTGGACTCTTCCCCTTCTGTAACTCTTTTTTGCTTCATGAGAGGGTATTTTAGGTAGGAATTGGCTCCTTTTATCCTTCCATAGAAGGTATCCTCTCCGCTTTGAGTAGGATAGTTTAAGGGTGTTCAGTTTGAGCATTTCTGGGAACCACACAGGTATACCTGGCTTAGAAAAATCACACTTTTATTCTTATGACTCATGTTTTAAGCATACGAACTCTGCAAAGCTAATACAGTGATCTTCAATCTATCTTGACAAATAAACATTTGTATAAACATTTTTTCTCCCTACTTTTGATAATTTTGATATTAAAGATTACAAACTTAGAAGAACAATTAGAACAATTTAGAGAAGAACTGGAAAATAAGAATGAAGAAGTTCAGCAACTACATATGCAATTAGAAATACAGAAAAAGGAGTCTACTACCCGCCTACAAGAACTTGAACAAGAAAATAAATTATTTAAGGTAATTAATTTAGGAAAACTTTTGCATGTAAATAAGTCACAGTTTTGGTTCCGTGTAGCTTTATTAAGCATTTGTTAAATCCAGCCACTAAGTAATACTTAACAGAGGAACATTAATGGGCCAACAGATTTGCATGAAACTTATTTTCAGCCCAACCTAAATATTTGAATTCATCATAAATGAAAAACGTTGAGAACTTTTGTCAAAATATTTTAAGAATTACTGATTTATAATAACCATATGATTCTTCTAAATTTTTTCATTTGTACATGATATGTACCATATCTTTTGTAAGAGTTAATTGAAAGAACATTCTCAGAATGACATGTAATGATACATCCAACTGTGTTGGTTATTTTTATCCCTAGGATGAAATGGAGAGACTGGGATTTGCCATAAAGGAATCTGATGCTGTGTCTACTCAGGACCAACATGTGTTATTTGGGAAATTTGCTCAAATAATACAGGAAAAAGAGGTAGAAATTGACCAATTAAATGAGCAAATTACAAACCTTCAGCAGCAACTTAAAATTACAACAGATAACAAGGTATGTTCATTTAAAATTGATTATTAATACCTGAAATTAATATGAGCCAGAATTTTAAAGGTACTAAAATGGTTATAATTTATAGTTTCCCACTAAATTTAAAAACAACTCTTAATTTTCTTTTAACCATTAATATTAATTTATAAGACGCACAGTCTTAGTAATCTGTGTATGTTTTTGTTCCTCCTAATATTGTCAAAGGATTTTAATGTTTTTCAGGGTGGCTCTGTGACTTAGATTTTATATTATTCTAATCAAACCGATTATAAATTCTTCTATTTAATATGAGTTTAATATGAGTTAATTACCTTTGGGTGCAACCAGTTAAAGACTTTATTTCAATACTTCATCTTTTCAGTTAAAATATATTGATATTAGGAGGCTGAGGTGGGAGGATTGCTTGAGGCTAGGAGTTCAAGACCAGCCTGAGCAAGAGTGAGACCCCATCTTTACAAAAAATAGAAAAATTAGCTGGATGTGGTGGTGCACACCTGTAGTCGCAGCTACTTGGGAGGCTGAGGCAGGAGGATTGCTTGAGCCTAGAAATTTGAGGTTGCACCAAGCTGTGATCACACCACTGAACTATAGCCCAAGCAACAGAGTGAGTCCCTGTCTCAAAAAAATAGATAGATAGATATCAACTATTTTCCTAATAGGAAATCAGCTACTAAAAGCATAAGTCACTCTATACTTAAGATAACTTTCTGAATGAAGTTCTAAATAAGGTCTTTGTTTTATATGGTGGGGGGAGGTGTTGGTCTATATTGAAATTAAAGTAAGGTAGTATGTCTGAAAAGTAGTCATGTCTTTAAAGTCCTGCCAAAATAAAAATTTCCAAAATATAAATACATATTTATTATATAATCTTTTTCATTAATAGGTTATTGAAGAAAAAAATGAACTAATAAGGGATCTTGAAACCCAAATAGAATGTTTGATGAGTGATCAGGAATGTGTGAAGAAAAATAGAGAAGAAGAAATAGAGCAACTCAATGAAGTGATTGAAAAACTTCAACAGGAATTGGCAAATATTGGACAGAAGACATCAGTAGATGCTAATTCTCTCCCAGAAGAAGCAGACAGTTTAAAACATCAGTTGGATTTAGTTATAGCTGAAAAGCTAGCTTTGGAAAAGCAAGTAGAAACAGCTAATGAAGAAATGACCTTCACGAAAAATGTACTTAAAGAAACCAATTTTAAAATGAATCAACTAACACAAGAATTATGTAGCTTAAAGAGAGAACGTGAAAATATGGAAAAAATCCAAAGTGTACCAGAGAAAATGGTTAACATGGCTATAGATGATCTGAGTAAAGACAAACCTACACTAGAAGTTCTTACTGAGGATGATCTTAAACCCCTAGAGAATCAGACTTATCTCAGATCTTTCGAAGAAAACAGCAAAGTTTCCATAAGTAATTTGGAAAAAAAGTTGCTACAACTTGAGAGCACTATTAGTGCAAAGGACTTAGAACTTATCCAGTGTTATCAACAGATAAAAGACATGCAAGAGCAAGGCCAGTCTGAAACAGAAATGCTTCAAAAGAAGATTATAAACCTACAAAAAATACTTGAGGAAAAAGTAGCTGCTGCTCTTGTGAGTCAAGTTCAACTTGAGGCAGTTCAGGAATATGCAAAGTTCTGTCAAGATAAACAAGCAATTTCATCAGAACCTGAAAGAACAAATACACAGAATTTAAATCAACTAACAGAAAATGAGATGGGGTCAAATGTATCAACATTAACCTTGAGAATATCAGAATTAGAAAGCCAAGTGGTTGAAATGCACAGTAGTTTGATTTTAGAAAAAAAACAAGTAGAAATTGCAGAGAAAAATGCTTTGGAAAAAGAAAAGAAGCTGCTAGAACTACAGAAGCTTTTGGAGGAAAGTGAGAAAACACAGGGAGGGAAAGAAAGAAAAAGAAACCCTCCAGGAGATTGTGAAGTTCAAAAGGTTAGTTTCTTATTTGATTTTTTTCACTTAAATACCCCAAGAAACTCTTTTCCTTTATTTATTCTTTAAACTGACTGCTAATTTATTAAATATAGTGTTCTGTTTACATCTAGCAATTTATAGAAAAGGATTTTTTAATAAAAACATACTGTTGTTAAAAGAAAAACTTTAGGCAAACTAATTTTAAATGAGTCTATTTGACCAAAGAATGATTCATGAGTTGGGCAGCACTCAGAACCGGAAGAGCTTCACAAGTCTCTGCTGTGCAGCAGTGGACAGTGGATATTTATGGACCTCTCAAGTAAAGTACAGAAATACCTTGATTGGTTACAACTAAATATTTGCCTTATTTGGACATGGTCTGATCAATTAGCTGCTTGTGATTGGCTAAGAATTGGCTGTTTTTATACTCCTAAATTAGGTTTTCAATTTGGTTACATACTCCTAAGTTAGGTTGCAGTTCCTTACGTAGGAGCTCAAGGTACAGAGACAGCTTAGGCCAGATTTAACTTAACACTGTACAGTCACATTATTGTCACTAGAATAATGGATACAGACTATGTTTCATGGTCTTCAAACACATTTATTTCATTAGCATTGTCATTAAATAGAGCAGTCAGAAGAAACATAGAAACATTAAATTTAGCAAATGACCTCTAGGACTTGTGTGGGATTTTTTTCCTTAATTTCCTTCTAATGTGCATGTTATGTTATCATTCCTTTTAAGTAATGAAAAACGTCAAAATATATTACTGTTGACAAAGAATACAGACTGTAGAGGAAAAAAATATATTAGTATCTAACGAATTAATGGGTGGGTGACAAACCCTTAGCTTTTACAAATTTTATTTTTACCAAAAAAGGATGTTTTGGTAAAAATTTGTATTTGACCTCTGTAAGTATACTTATGTAAGGATCTGAAATTGCAGTTATTTTTTAGCATATGATAGATATGAACAGGGCTTTTTTTTAATTCTCACTTTATAAATTTATAATTTTGAGTATTAGAAGTATGGTATTATCTAAACACCAGGAAATTGATATGTCACAATTCTGTAATTCCATTTACTAGGCCTTTTCCTCATAGCTTATTTGAACTATAAATTACTTTAAGTAATAAATAATTCAAATAATATGACTTTCCATGTATAATTTCTAAGAAATATCTTAGTTACACCTGGTTTCTTTTGAGGTAAGTGATATGAATATGAAGCACTTTTGAATGGAACCAAAAAGTTTTTATTAATAATTTATAAATTTTTAGGATATATACTAATGACATGATTTACCTTTTGTTCCCAGAAACTCATTCTTTTCTCAAGAAGACAGTCATTGTCTCAAGAATATAAGATGATGGTTCTGAAAAAGTTTTCCTATTTGTTGAAAGAGCATTGATCATTGCAACCCCTTTTATCTGTAGGCAGTCATTCCTGGGAAAGTTTTATTTGAATGTATGAATGCCTTGAACTTAACCTATATTTTTAAAAAATGATGTTTTTCTTATGTTTCCACTACCATTCAGACAACTACTGAGTTAATTAGTACCAACAAAGAAAGTGGATTTTGGGGGGAACTTGAGGTTCTTAAAGCTGAGTCAGTGGCTACCAAAGAAGAACTTACCAGTTATAAAGAAAAGGCAGAAAAACTTCAGGAAGAGCTTTTGGTAAGATAAGTAACAAAGCTCCTAATTCATTTATTTCTACCTATCTTAATTTCATGTCAAAGTATATTCTCTTCTATAAAAACAACCCAGATCCATAACTGAAAAGCTGCATTAAAAAGTCTTTTGTCAATTTGATGAAAAATTCCATTGTTATACATTTATTTACCAGCATCTTCTTGCTTGGTTTTCCTGGGAATCTTTGTTAGGATACTTTTAATCTCTAGTCTGTTAAGGAAAAAAGAGAACCAAAAGTAGAAACTGATAAAATTATTTTACCTTTGTAGTAATCTATGACCATACGTGTGAATATATGAGAATGTTTCTGAAATGTTTTTTCTAGTATTCTGAGGAAAATGAACATGAAATTATGAATTATACTCTCCCCAGCCTTTAAATTTGACATTTAATATGGAAAATTTTTAATCGAATACTGTTCTATTCCTTGTGTTTTAGGTAAAAGAAACAAATATGGCATCTCTTCAGAAAGATTTAAGCCAAGTTAGGGATCAACTCACAGAGGCAGAAGAGAAATTATCCCACTTCTTAGAAAAAGAAGATAAGATTGAGGTGCAAGAAAACAGAAAGGTCTGCATATTAGAGCCACTTCCTATTAAAGTGGGTAAAAGCTCTGCATCCCAAACTGAGGGGACTCTCAGGGTCAATAGCAGCAATCAGACTCCACAAATTCCTGTGAGAAATTCAGGAATCCAAATTGATTTGCAGAATGAATGTTCCTCAGAAGAAGTCGCTGAAATAATCAGTCAGTTTACTGAAAAAATTGAGCAGATGCGAGAACTACATGCTGCTGAAATTTTGGATATGGAATCCAGACATATTTCAGAAACTGAAACTTTAAAGAGAGAACATTATGTTGCTGTTCAGTTACTGACAGAGGAATGTGCTACCTTGAAGGCAGTGATACAGTGTCTGAGAACTAAAGAGGTATTTGGTTTTTATTAATATGTGGGCTTTTTTTTCATTATCATATTTTTTTATTCAATAGATTTAGGTTGTGCAAGTTGAATTCCATTACATGTATATATTTTATAGTGGTGAAGTCTGGGCTTTTAGTGTACCCATCACCTGAATAGTAGACATTGTACACCATAGGTAATATTTCACCCCTCATCCCCTCCCAACCACCCACTCTTTGAGCCCACGTGTGGGCCTCCAGTTCCATCCAAATTGTTGCAAAAGACATTATTTCATTCTTTCTTACGGCTGAGTAGTACTGTGTGGTGTGTGTGTTGTCATACACACACCACATTTTCTTTATCCACTCATCAGTTGATGGGCACTTAGGTTGATTCTGTATCTTTGCAATTGTGAATCATGCGGTAGTAATACAAGTGCAGGTATCTCTTTTTTTTTTTTTTTTTGGAGACAGAGTCTTGCTCTGTTGCCTAGGCTAGAGTGCCATGGCATCAGCCTAGCTCACAGCAACCTCAAATTCCTGGGCTTAAGCAATCCTTCTACCTCAGCCTCCCGAGTAGCTGGGACTATAGGCATGCACCACCATGCCCGGCTAATTTTTTCTATATATATTTTTAGTTGTCCAGCTAATTTCTTTCTATTTTTACTAGAGATGGGGTCTCGCTCTTGCTCAGACTGGTCTCGACCTCCTGACCTCGAGCAGTCCTGCCTCAGCCTCCCAGAGTGCCAGGATTACAGGCATGAGCCACCGTGCCCGGCCACAAGTATCTTTTTAATATAATTTCATTTCCTTTGGCTAGATACCCAGCAGCAGGATTGCAGGATTGAATAGTAGATCTACTTTTAGTTCTTGGAGAAATCTCCATACTGATTTTGATAGAGATTGTACTTATTCACATTCCCATCAACAGTAATAAGTGCTCCCTTTTTGCTGCATCCATGCCAACATCTATTGTTTTTTCACTTTTTAATAATGGCCATTCTAATTGAAGTAAGATGGTATCTCATTGTGGTTTTAATTTGCATTTCTCTGATAATTAAATTAATGATGTTGAGCATTTTTCATACGTTTTTTTGACCATTTATGTATCTTTTGAACAATGCCTGTTCATGTCATTTGCCTACTTTATAAAAGGGTTGTTTGTTTTTTTCCTGGCTGAGTTGTTCCAAATTCCTTTTAGATTCTAGGCATTAGTCCTTCATCGGATGTATAGTTTACAAATATTTTCTCCCATTCTGTAGGTTGTCTGTTTATTTTGATTATTTCTTTTGGTGTACAGAAGCTTTTTAGTTTAAGTACCATTTGTCTATTTTTGATTTTGTTGCATTTCCTTTTGGGATCTTAGTCATAAATTCTTTAGCCATTCTAGGGCCACGTCCAAAAAGAGTTTTTCCGTTCTTCTAGAATGTTTATGGTGTCAGGTCTTACATTTAAGTCTTTAATCCATCTTCAGTTAGTTTTTGTATATGGTGACAGATAGGGATCCAGTTTCATTCTTTTGCATGCAGCTATCCAATTTTACCAGCACCATTTATTGAATAGGGTACCCTTTCCCCAGTGTATGTTTTTGTCTTCTTTGTTTTAGATTGGTTGGTTGTAGGTTTTATTTCTGGGTTGTGGGTTTTATTTCTGGGTTCTCTATTCTGTTCCGTTGATCTCTGTGTCTGTTCTTATGCTAGTACCATGCAGTTTTAGTTACTGTAGCCTTATAGTGTAATTTGAAGTCAGGTAATGTGATGCCTCTAGATTTATTCTTTTTACTTACAATTGCTTTGGCTTTTCAGGCTTTTTTTTTTTTATTCCATATGCATTTTAGAATCATTCTTTCTAATTATGTGAAAAACGATGTTGGCGTTTTGATAGGGATTGCATTGCATCTGTAGATTGTTTTGGGCAGTTTGGTCATTTTAACAGTATTAATTCTTCCAATGAGCATGGGATGTTTTCCCATTTGTTTGTGTCCTCTGCGATTCCTTTCATCAGTGATTTTTAGTTCTCCTCGTAGAGATCTTTTACCTCCTTGGTTAAATATATTCCTAGGGGTTTGGTTTTGTTTTTGCAGCTATTGTAAATGGGATTCAGTTCTTGATTTGATTTTTTTTTTTTTTTTTTGAGACAGAATCTTGCTCTGTTGCCCGGGCTAGAGTGCCATGGCATCAGCCTAGCTCACAGCAACCTCAAACTCCTGGGCTCAAGCAATCCTTCTGCCTCAGCCTCCCAAGTAGCTGGGACTAGAGGCATACGCCACCATGCCCGGCTAATTTTATATATATATATATTTTTAGTTGTCCAGATCATTTCTTTCTATTTTTTAGTAGAGACGGGGTCTCGCTCTTGCTCAGGCTGGTCTCGAATTCCTAACCTTGAGCGATCCACCCGCCTTGGCCTCCCAGAGTGCTAGGATTACAGGCGTGAGCCACCACACCCGGCCTTGATTTGATTTTTATCTTGGTCATTATTGGTGTATAGAAATGCTATTGATTTTTGTACATTTATTTTATAACCTGAGACTTTGCTGAATTCATTTGTCAGATCTAGGAGTCTCTGGAGGAGTCCTCAGGGTCGTCTAAGGCATATAATCCTATCATCAGCAAACAGAGATAATTTGACTTCCTCTTTTCCAAATTGGCTGCCATTTATTTCTTTCTCATACTTGATTGCTCTGGCTAGGACTTCCAGTACTATGTTGAGTAGAAGTGGTGAAAGTGAACACCCTTATCTTGTTCCAGTTTTGTGGAGGAGTGCTTTCAAATTTTCACCGTTCAGCATAATGTTGGCTGTGGGTTTATCATATATGGCTTTTATTATTTTGAGTTATGCTCCTGTGCTGAGTTTTTTTAAGGTTTTTATCATGAAGGGATGCTGGATTTTTTCAGATGCTTTTTCTGTATATATTGAGATGATCATACTGGGGGTTTTAATTATAGTTCTGTTTATGTGGTGAATCACATTTATTGACTTGTGTATGTTGAATAATTCTTGCATTCCTAGAATGAAACCCATTTGATTGTGGTGAATTATCCTTTTGAGGTGCTATTGGATTCGGTTTGCTAGTATTTTGTTGAGGATTTTTGCATCTATGTTCATCAGAGATACTAGTCTAGTTTTCTTTTTTATTTTTTTGGTTGCATCCTTTCCTGGCTTTGGTATCAGGGTGATACTGGCTTCGTAGAATGAGTTAGGGAGGATGCCCTCCACTTCAATCTTTTGGAGCAGTTTCAGTAATCGTACCAGTTGTTTTTTGTACATCTGGTAGAATTCGGCTGTGAATCCATCTGGTGAATCCATCTGGCTATTTTTTGGGGGAGATTTTTTACTACTGATTCAATCTCACTACTTGTTATTGGTATATTCAGGGTTTCTATTTCTTTCTGGTTCAGACTTGGAAGGTTGTATGTTTCCTAAGAGAAAATAAAAAAAGAAACTTGAGGCAGTCTCTTTCTTATAATACTATTACAATTTTAAATCTTTCCACTGTGTAGAGTTAGATAATATGTTAAATTCCTGTGTAGATTTGGAACCTGTTATCATTTCTTAATTCATCAGTGTCTCTATTATGGCAATATCCAGGAAGAAAAAGTATAGACTTGTTATAAATTGTGGATAGTTCATTTATTATGAAAGGTATGACAAAGTTAATTGATTTTTTATTACAGCATTAGAAAATAGCAAAATGATTTATTGGATTTTATTAGAGCAAAAAAAGATATATTTTTGTTTTCTCTAATTAGGGATCCTCATTTCCTGAATTAACACATTCCGATGCTTACCAAACTAGAGAAATATGTTCCAGTGGTAAGTTATATAAATTTCTGGAATGGTTAAAGTATTTGTTTAAAAAGTGCTGTTTTGGGGGCAGGGGGTTGTTTGGTTTTTTAACAGGAAATGATTTTCTTTATTTTAGATTCTGGATCAGACTGGGGTCAGGGAATTTATCTTACACACAGTCAGGGATTTGACACAGCATTAGAAGGCCGAGGAGAAGAAGGTGAAAGTTCAACAGATTCCTTTCCAAAGAAAATAAAGGTACTAAAAGATAGATATCTTTTACTAACTTAACCAGTGTTTCTATATTGAACATAATAGTTTATTAAAAGTTATATTGTGAGAACCTTGGGGATCTATTCTTTTTTTAAATAGACAGGGTCTCACTCTGTCATCCAGGCTGCTAGAGTGCACTGGCATGATCATAACTTACTGCGGCCTTGAACTTTTGAGCTCAAATGATCTTCCTGCCTCAGCCTCCCAAGTACGTGGGACTACAGGCATGTGCCATCATGCCTGCCTAATTTTTTTCATGTTTTTAAATTTTATTTTGTTTATTTATTTAGAGACTGGGTCTCGCTATGTTGCCCAAGCTGATCCTGAATTCCAGACCTCAAGCGATTTTCCTGCTCAGCCTCCTGAGTCACTGGGATTATAGGCATGAGCCACCACACTCAGTTTGAGGATCTGTTTTGTTTTATTTAAATATTTCACAGATAATAAGGTGTAATAGATTAAATGATTATGTGTGAAGATTTTTTTCTCTTCATAATTCTTATTCTCAATGTTTTTGTTTGCCAGAATTATTATTATAGTTTCAAAGAGTAGAAGTTATTTCCCATATATTTCTTTTGGTCAAATCAATGCCTAATCATTAAACCCAGGAAGAATACATTAGCTGTATAGAAGGAACTTAGAGATAAGAGCTGTGAAAAGTCATAGACAGTCTCCTGGGATCAGCTTACCCCTCTGCAGGAAGAAGGCATTCAGTAATGTTGGGCTGGAGTTTCTGTCTGCAATGGACCTTCTATATCAGTATAGCTAGATAAAACTATCTTGCTTTAAATTTATTTCCGTTTGTATGTAATTTCAGTCTTTGAAGAAGTCATAATTCCAGTTTTTGGGTTTTGGTTTCTAGGGATTACTGAGAGCTGTCCATAATGAAGGGATGCAGGTGCTTTCTCTCACAGAGTCTCCCTATAGTGATGGAGAGGACCATTCTGTTCAGCAGGTTTCAGAATCTTGGCTAGAAGAGAGAAGAGCTTACCTTGATACCATCTCATCTCTTAAGGATTTAATTACAAAAATGCAAGTGCAAAGAGAAGCTGAGGTACCCAAGGAATATTAAGCATCTAAATAGTTTTATATTATTTGTAACAATAACAGTATGCTTTACAAATTAAATTATCATTTATGTGTTTTCACATGAATTACTATATATATTTTTACACTTAAAATATATGCTCTTAGGCTTTTAATATTTACTTTGGTTGATTAAGATGTTTAGGATATTTTAAAAACATGCTCATTTGAAAACTGACCTTTGTTATTTGTGTTCTGCTAGGTTTATGATAGTTCTCAATCTCAGGAGACCTTCTCAGACTGGCGAGGTGAACTTCTGCTTGCCCTTCAACAAGTTTTCTTAAAGGAGCACAGTGTTTTACTAGCCGCATTTCAGACTGAGCTGACAGCTCTAGGTACTAGAGATGCCGTTGGATTATTAAACTGTTTGGAACAGAGAATACAAGAACAGGTATCTAAATGAAACTTTAATTTTCTCTAAAAGGGAGAAGCAGTAAGTCTGCAGTGAAGAAACTTTGCAGATGCCACCTTAACCCCAGTAATCAGAATTAATGTAACCAGTAGTGGAACAGATGACATGACAAATAATTACTGATAAGAAGGACATAATGTCACTTTTGTGGTATTTCTGTTAAATTCATAACCAGAATCTCCTCTGGGAGAAATATCAGACCAAAACAAATTGAGGCCACTACATATCTATCAAACTGAAAAATAGTGACAACACCAAGTGCTGATGAGGATGCCGAGAAACTGCATTTTATACATTGCTGGTAGGAGTGTAAAATGGGAGAGCTAACTCTGGAAAATAATCTGGGAGTTTCTTATAAAGTTAAACGTAACACTTAACCATATAAGCTAGCAGTCACACTAATAGATATTTAATCTGACAGAAATGAAAACTTATGTCTCCATAAAAATCTATACACAAATATCATAGCAGTTTTATATTTAATAGCCAAAAACTACAGACAACCCAAATGTCCTTTGACAGGTGAATGGGTAAACGAGCAGTGCTACATCTATACAATGAAATACTGATCAATAATTAAAAAGGAACAAAGTGTAATCTTTGTACGCACAACAGCTTGTATGTTATATAACACTCTTGAAATGATAAAACTGTGCCTCTATACAGATCATTGGTTGTCAGAATTTAGGATTAGTGAGAGGGTGTGACTACAAAGGAGTTTTTTTGTGGTAATGAAACAATCTGTACCCTGATTTGTGATGGTGGTTATATGAACCTGTACATGTGATAAAATTTCATAGTACTATACATGAAGAAAAGAATGAGTGCATATAAAAACTAATGAAATATACATAAGCCTTATAGTTTAACAAATATTTTACCAGTGTCAGTTTCCTGGTTTCGATCATGTACTTGTGGTTATGTAAGATGTTATCATTGGGGAAAACCTGCCTAAAAGGTACACAGGAACTTTGGCTTAAATTATTTCAAAATAAAGAGTTTTTTCTTAAATTGAGGAACATAAAATAACTAGTCTGTACTCTTCATAAATTAAAGGTCATAAAAGATAAAGACTTAATGAATATCAATTTTCTTTTCTTTTTGTTTTATAGGACATTTAGCAAAATTTGAATAAGCTCTGTATATTAGATAATATAGTAATGTTAATTTTACTTTTTATTGTAGTTATGAAAAAGAATATTCTTTTAATGAAATATACTATGTAGTAATTAGGGGTAAAGGAGCATTTGTATGCAGCATGTCCTCACACAGTTTGGAAAAGAAAAATAATTTTTTTTCCTGAGTTTTCAATTTTATGTTTTTTAATTGATTATATATATTCATGGGTTACATATAGTGATATTTCAATACATATAATGTGTAGTGATCAGATCAGGGTAATTAACATATCTGTCATCTCAAACATTTATCATTTGTGTTGGGAGTGTTCAAAATCCTCCTCCTATCTATTCGAAGCTGTATATATTACTGTTAACTGTAGTAATCCTTCAGTGGCATAGAATACTAGAGGGATTCCTCCTATCTGGCTGTAATTGTGTATCCTTTAACACGTTTCCTATCCCTTCCTTCCCCTGACCCTTCCCAGCCTCTGGTGTCATCTGTTCCACTTCTTACTTCTGCAAGATAACTTTTTTTTTTAGCTTTCAGGTAAGAGTGAGAACGTGCAGTATTTATGATCCTGCCTTATTTCACTTAATATAATTTCCTCCAGTTCTGTCCATGTAAAATTTTTTAAATAAAAAAATTTTAGCATGTGTGTTCCATTCATTCCTCTTTAGATTTCTTGGTGGTTGATTTTATTATCTTAACAACTCTCTTCATTTGATTTTTTATTTTCTTTTGTTTAGGGTATTGAATATCGAGCAGCTATGGAATGCCTCCAGAAAGCAGATAGAAGGAGTTTGTTATCTGAAATTCAAGCACTGCATGCTCAAATGAATAGCAGAAAAATGATTCTGAAAAGAGAACAAGAGAATGATAAACCAAGCCAAGGTATGTTGTATGACAGGCTCGTATGGTTATACAAATAGCTGAAAATATTTCACTTTGTTTCTCTTCTTCTCATTCAGTTAAAACACATCTCCTCAGTCACATTTTGGTCTCATAACATTAAGAAAATAATCTATATTAATTACTGGATTGTCAAATTGGTTTTAAACCGCTATATTTAATTTTAAATGAACTGCGATTGCCCTGATCACGTTGTTAAGCCCATTAAGTTCATTATCTTTGTTTTAAAACTATATATTAAGTAAAATCTTTCTTATACTCTTTAGAGGATAACCACTTAAAAGAAAAAGAAACCCGCAATGCAAGTAACTAATTCTTTTTTAATCCTTTTTCAAACAATTGTAAGCTGTAACATATGTACAAGAAAATACAAAATGCAAATATACACCGTCACAAACTATTAAATGGATATCTATGGAAATATCACCCACTTGAAGTAGAACATTGCCAGTTTCCCAAAAGCCCCCTTTCCAAATGCATGCTTCTTAGAGGTAATCATTATGCTGATTTTTCTTTATTTTTACTGTCTATTTATATATTCCTAAACCATATGTTTACATTTTTTCCTGTTTCTGAACTTAATCAATCTGTATATGTTTTATGTCTTCTTTCTTTCACCTCTCTATAACATTCTTCTAAGTTACTGCATTTATCTCTAGTTCATTCATTTTTGTTACTATTTAGAATTCCCTTGTATAGATATTCTAAAATTTATATATTTTATCATTGAACATTTGGGTTGTTTCTACTTTTTAGTTGTTGCAGTCACTGCTATTAGGGATATTGTTGTACACTGTTTCTGATGCATACCTGCATGACCCTTCTGAATATATACCTGGGAGTGGAATTGCTGGGTCATAGGATACATATTTTCAAATTTATTAGATAATGTCAAACTGTTTCACAAAGTGGTCATATCAGTTTGTACACTCACTAGCAGTATATGAGAGTTCTGTTGCTTTGTGTCTTCACCAACACCTCTGTTGTCAATCTATTGGGTGTGCACTCAATTCTTACTGTGGTTTTAATCGACTTTCCTCTAATTACTGAAGTGGTTTAGTTTTTCATGATTATTGGCTAGTTAGATTTTTGCTTTTGTGATATGCTTGTTCAGCTTTTTTCCCCCCACTTTTTGATAAGGGTGTTTGTCCATTTAAATTGAGCTACAGATGGGAATCGTTAGAGTTTAGTGAAATTGAATTTTCATCATACCTAGTGAGAGCACATGCCTGTGTCTTCAGTAATTTTGTTGTATTTAATGGTAGGAATTTTGAAAGTCACAGCGTAGTCTCATATTTGTCATAGAAAAGCTGAAGCAGGTTAAAATTACTTCAGAGAAAGCAGGTATAATGAGATAAATTAAACCTATCTCTTTAGGCCAGGTGTGGTGGCTCACACCTGTAATCCCAGCACTCTGGGAGGCCAAGGAGGGAGGATCACTTGAGCTCAGGAGTTGGAGACCAGCCTGAACAAGGAGATACTTTCTCTACTAAAAATAGAAAAAAATTAGCCAGGGCTGGTGGCACTTGCCTGTAGTCCCAGCCACTCAGGAGGCTGAGGCAGGAGGATCACTTCAGCCTGGGAGTTTAAGGTTGCTGTGAACGAGGCTGACACCACCACACTCTAGTCTGGGCAACAGAGACTGTGTCACAAAAAAAAAAAAAAATCTCTTTAGATATAAGCTTAATTTAAAACTATTTTTAGAGATAATTGATTAATATTTTATTTAGGTTAAACAGAGTGCTATTGAAACCTTAATGTCACATAGATTCATATTTATGTATGTAAATCCTTAGCCTCTATAGTTTAAAAGCCTAAATTAACATGACTGATTAACAGCTAAAGCCAATGGTATTCCTGTCGCCTAACATCATTAATATGAACTATAATATGAATTGATATACTTTGATAGAGTTTTGTCAGGTTAAAAAATTTTTTCTTAGTGTAGTAGTGTTACATATTTTATGGTAGAACAGAGAAACAAAAGAATGGGGTAAAAATCACCCATAGAATCACCTAAATCCTAAAATAATGACTACTTAACACCTGGGTAAATATGTCTCCAGACCTTTTCAACATGCATGTGTACATAACTTTATATTTTTCATAAAAAGGGTATCCTGATACATATTTTGTAACATGCTTTTTTTCATTTAACATACTTAGGGCTTTAAATTTTTCAGTTTGTTTTCATTGTAACCAACATGTAGCAAAGGTTTGGTTGGCTTTTAATGAAAAAAACTAGGATCCAAACTGGGGTTTGGACTTCCCCCTTCTGGAGTCAGAGTTGAAGTTCCTAGGGACTGTCTGCAAAGGGGTGCTGAATAAAAGATGAAAGCAGCACTGATAATTGTAGTCATAGTTATATGGGTAACTCCCGCAGGTTATTTTTGTGTGGCTGTGAAAAATCTTTGGAATTTTTTTTTTTTTTTTTTTTTGAGACAGAGTCTCACTCTCTTGCCTGGGGCGAGTGCCGTCTCGTCAGCCTAGCTCACAGCAACCTCAAACTCCTGGGCTCAAGCAATCCTACTGTCTCAGCCTCCCGAGTAGCTGGGACCACAGACACGCGCCACCATGCCCGGCTAATTTTTTTCTACATATATTTTTAGCTGTCCAATTAATTTCTTTCCATTTTTTGGTAGAGACGGGGTCTCGCTCTTGCTCAGGCTGGTCTCGAACTCCTGAGCTCAGAATGATCCGCCCGCCTCAGCCTCCCAGAGAGCTAGGATTACAGGCGTGAGCCACTGCACCCGGCCAATCTTTGGAATTTTTTTTAATATGAGCTGTTGAAATTCTGAATTAACAAACACAAGTTTCTATTTATAGTATTGTATGAACATTTAAAGTTGTTTTTAAATTTTAAATCCTACATCCATTAATATATTTCTGTTAAATTTTTATCATCCTTATATATTTATAGTTCTGAAAATCTTGACTACTAGCACTATGAGGAAAACATGCATAAAGTGTATTTATATTAATTACCAATTCTTGGGACTGTAATCTTTTCTTTCCTGTTTGCTTTGCAATCATCTCCTAAATTAGAAATCAGTTCCTATCGAAAGCATATTTATAAACCAAATATGAGTTGTTTGATCATATTTTAAACATTAATCGTATTCCATTTAGAAGTCTTGGAATATAATATACAGCAGAAGCAGTCTCAAATGCTGGAGATGCAAGTGGAGCTGAGCAGTGCGAAAGACAGAGCCACAGAACTGCAGGAACAGCTGAGTTCTGAGAAGATGGCAGTTGCTGAACTAAAGAGTGAACTTGCACAAACTAAATTGGAACTAGAAACAACACTCAAGGCACAGCATAAGCACCTAAAAGAATTAGAGGCATTCAGGTGTGCCAAGCTTCCTTATTATAAATATGTATTAGTAAAGGAATTGGAGTAATTTTGTCATAAACACTGTGTAAATATTCCAAAATATAACATTATAGGTGATATTTAAATATCATGAAACTATGTTAAAGTCGAAACTATAGTAGAGAGAAAAAATTCTAAATTTTTCCAGATGATAAACTTGTAACTATATTGGCATATCTCTACTGTCCTTCAGCTCTATTTGAGATTTATTATTTAAGATATCATTTTGGCCTTTATTTTTGCCACCAACTAATTTGAAATGATATTTATGAACTCAGTGGGATTCATGGTTCAGTTAGCTGAAATATGCAAAATGTTTGAAGAGATAATTCTTATAAAAAGTATTGTTGGTGTAAATACTGAGATATTCTGTTTGCCAAAGACATTACAAGTACAGTCATTTTTATTTTAAACATTGATTTCACACACACAGACACACATGGCGCGAATCCCATGTTCAGTAAAAGACAAAGGAAAATAATTGTTTGCAATGGTAAATAATAACTAATAGTTACACTACTAGAAATAGTTAATTTGAAATGAGCCACAGTCAAGAATCTTTAATCCTTACCTGGTTTATATTTTCCTATTAGCTTATTGATTATATATCTCAACTTTTCAGTGGAAGCTGTTTTCTCTTTCTCGCTCTTTCATTATATATTCGGTCAAAATAGTTTTATGAAAGTTCATTTGGTTCTCTGATTTAGGTTGGAAGTTAAAGATAAGACAGATGAAGTACATTTGCTTAATGATACATTAGCAAGTGAACAGAAAAAGTCAAGAGAGCTCCAGTGGGCTTTGGAGAAAGAGAAAGCCAAATTGGGACGCAGTGAAGAACGGGATAAAGAAGAACTTGAGGTATTGTGTCTTTAAATGTCTCTGGAAAATCCAAAATGGTAGAAGAGTCTTTGAGACTTTCCTCCATCTAAAATATCAACCTTAGACTCTTGTAAGATATGATAAGTTATTCACTATGCGTTGCATACTGTTGTAGTGTTAACTGTATTATGAGGAAATGTTAATGGTGTGATGATTTTGTTTTGCTATATCCAAGGATGCGTATAGACTGCTCTGCCGCAACGTGTTTTCAGGATATGAATTTGTATACACACAATTTGATAAATAGTAGTTTTGGTTCCTATTTTCTCCTAGGGAAAGGAACAGGGATACTTTTCTTACAGCAGGAGCCCTTGCTGCTTTACTTCAAGAAAATTTAAAATCAACATTAGGCTCTCCCGGAGAAGCACACCCTATCCTTGCAGGACACTGAGCTCAAGGCAGGTTGTACTGCTTGCAATGCCCACATTAATGGTAGCCTTACTGGCTCACAGCTATTTTTCTAGCCACATAATCCTAGTTCCCACTACTCTATGCTAAAGAAAATGTATTGCCAGCATTTTTGCCCATTTTTTGTTTTTAATGTCCATTGTGGTAGCCTCCAGGCATAGTGGACTCTCTCTTCTGGGTAAGGACATGTTATCTCCCCAGGTACTAATTACTATTTTTTAAACATTAAAAATTTGCATAGATTTTGAGTAGTTTGCCCCTGGTGTTACTTTCCCCATAAGCTCTATTATTTTTAGCCCATGATACTGCAAAACATAAGGTTTTTCAGGAAATCGTATTGCATTATATCCAAAACACATATATATTTTTGTACAAATTTATTAATGTGCACAGGAATCTTATCAAAATATAAGATCTCCAGGAACACTTATATTTTTAAAGGCCGTTATTCTTAGGAGAAATGTACCCTGCTTCATATTAGCCAGATAAGATTAATGTTTTGAGAGAAAAGTATTATTACCTTGCCTATCTTTCATCATTATATTCCATAATGGAAATCAATCGAGTCTTCAAATAGTTATGTCCCAGTTATGTCCTAACCACTGAAAATTTAAGTTAATAAACTGGATGATCAGTTCTATCTTCTATTACCAAATACTACCAATTAGTATTAACAGATGCATGGTTGTATATTTATAAAGTATTTTTAATAATATTAACAAGTTCTTAAATTTGATTTCCACCTACAAGGATCTGAAATTTTCACTTGAGGGTCAGAAAGAAAGGAATATTCAGCTAAGTCTACTTTTGGAACAACAGAAACAGCTACTAAATGAAGCACAGCAAAAAATAGAATCACAGAAAGTGCTATATGATGCCCAGTTATCAGAGGAACAAAGTCGAAACTTAGAGCTTCAAGTTCTTCTTGAATCCGAGAAAGTTCGAATTCAGGAAATGAGTAGTACCCTAGATAGGGAACGGGAATTACATGCACAGCTGCAGAGCAATGATGATAGTGGGCAACCTCGGCCATCCTTACCTTCTGAGGACCTACTTAAAGAGCTACAGAAACAGCTCGAGGAAAAACACAGTCGCATAGTAGAATTGTTAAATGAGACTGAGAAATATAAACTGGATTCTTTGCAAACAAGACAGCAAATGGAAAAAGATAGGCAGGTTCATAGGAAGACGTTGCAGACAGAACAAGAGGCCAACACTGAAGGACAGAAAAAAATGCATGAGCTCCAGTCCAAAGTGGAAGATCTTCAGCGCCAGCTGGAAGAGAAAAGGCAACAAGTTTATAAGTTAGACCTTGAAGGAAAGCGACTACAAGGAATTATGCAGGAATTCCAGAAGCAAGAACTGGAACGAGAAGAAAAACGAGAAAGTAGAAGAATTCTGTATCAGAATCTTAATGAGGTAAACTGACACTTCGTTTCATTTTAAATATTTTTTTAAAAGTACTACAGTCCTTTGATCATTAAATTTTGATATTGGATTATATTGTTTAAATAGCCATATGCAAATCATTTGAAAATGAAATCTATAGAAGTTTATTTGAAATATAAACAATAATTGTGTTCCCTTTAGAAAGAATGTGATATGCTACTCATTTGTAATTATTATTTTCTTTTTCTGTCCAAAATTGCCAGCCAACCACATGGAGCTTAACCAATGATCGAACTAGAAATTGGGTTCTTCAACAGAAAATAGAAGGAGAAACAAAAGAATCAAACTATCCTAAATTGATTGAAATGAATGGAGGAGGAACTGGCTGTAATCATGAATTAGAAATGATCAGACAAAAGCTTCAACATGTAGCTTCAAAACTACAGCATCTAGCCCAGAAAGCCTCTAATAGGTTAGAGACTTTTCTGCCTGATCTTTAGAAAAACAGCATTCTTAGACAGGCTGGACAGACCCCATTGCTCACTGATAGCTAGCTAAGAGTGGGGAATTGAAATTTTAAAGATAATGCATGTTTACATTAGGAGTTGATATCCTTTAATAAAACTCGTATCTGAAAATAACTAACACCTTGACCCAGAGAAAGAGAACACTTATTTTAAGGGAGAAATGATAGGTGAAGCAGAGCGTTGCCTGATCCGTAATGTTTGTGCTAGTCAGCAACCCTAATTGAGAAGGTATGTTTTGATGTTTTGTCTTTTTCTTAAAGACTACAGTTTGAAACAGCAGATGATGAAGATTTCATTTGGGTTCAGGAAAATATTGATGGGATTATTTTACAACTACAGAAATTAACTGGCCAGTCAGGCGAAGAGGTAAGACTTTTTTTATAGCTCTGTCTAATACATTGAGAGCAGAGATATAATAGAAATTGTGGATTGTTTGAAAGTGGCAGCATATTCTATAAAGAGTTTTTTTATTTTTTAATATGAATAAAATGTTTGTCTTCTCTCAATAGAAGATAATGAAAGCTTGGGAGAAAATTAACTTTCTTCATTGTTGTTGAATAATTACATTAACCTCTTACTGTATTAATTAATTAAGAGACCAAGCTTCTTGAAAGAGCATTCTGGCTTCTACCCTTAGCACTCTGTGAAACCATCCTTAGAATCCTCCCAGTGTCTTCACAATTGACTAATCTGAAGAATCTTTTCAGTCTTTTTCTTTACTAATTTGTGGCATTTAACACTTTCAATCTCTTCCATCTTCTTAAAACCCTCCTTTCCTTGCCTTTGCGATTTCTGTCATTTCTCAGACTTGTTTCATCAGTCACCTTCATCGGTTCCTCTAACCATAACTATGAACGCTCATTCAGTCTCACAGCCTGAGCTCTCACTAGACCTAGCGTTATTTATTGAGCAAATACTTACATTGAGCATCTACTATGTGTGAGGTTAACTGTACTAAGTTCTGGGGATACAGGGAACAAATCTGACAAAAACCTCACCTTTGTGGAACTTACCTTCTAGTGGATTGTGGTCCAGGCGTATACTTTATTTATTTTTTTTTTTTTTGAGACAGGGTCTCACTCTGTTGCCCAGACTACAGTGCAGTGGTGCAATCATAGCTCAAACTCCTGGACTTAAGCAATCCTCCTGTCTCAGCCTCCCCAGTAGCTGGGACTACAGGTGCACAACCACCATGCCCAGCAAATTTTTTTTTTATTTTTTTGTAGAGACAGAGTCTTGTTATGGTGCCCCCAGCTGGTCTTGAACTCCTGGCCTCAAGCTACTCTCCTGCCTCAGCCTCCCAATGTGCCAGAGTTACAGGCATGAGCCACTGTGCCCGGCCCAGGCCTATCTTTTCAGTTAGTTACTAGACATCTTCCTTAGGGAAATGTACCACACAGTAACCCTTTGGGAACCTAACAGGCACATTCCAAACTAAACTCCATCTTCCCTTTCTCCTTTCTCCCCCAAGCCCATATTTCTGGTCATGATATTGCCCAGTTTAGAAAGTTGTTAGTCACCATAGACCATCTTCCTTCACTCTTAATTGCACATCTAGGCAGTCACTAAGTCCTGTGCCTTTGATTTCTAACACAAAAATTTTGTTTGTGGCATACTCCTGCCTAAAGCCATTCATGGCTCTCCATCACCTGCATTTAGGTCTGTTTTCCATAAAGTGAAGCAACCATTGCTGTAGCCTTACCAAGCAACTTGTAGCTTCCTGAAAGCAATACACTCTCGCTCAAGCCTTTTTTCCTTCATATATGCTGTTCCTTCTGTTTAATATGCTCTTCCTTGTCTTCTTTCCTGCCTGGTAAAATTCTGCCTGTTATTTAAAACTCAACGCAAGCACCACTTCTTGCAATGTGTTGCTCTCAGTGCCTATTCAGACATTTAGATGTGTTGTTCACGTACATTTGTGTTTATGTGACCTTATGCCATTTTATTTTTTCAGCCCAACTTGGCGTCCCCAAGTATGTCTTGTGGCTCATTGACTGAAAGACTACTGAGACAAAATGCTGAGCTGACAGGACATATCAGCCAACTGACTGAAGAAAAGAATGATTTAAGAAACATGATTATGAAGCTGGAAGAGCAGATCAGGTGGTATCGACCAACAGGAGCTGGTAGAGATTATGTATGTCTATTTTTAACATGTCTACGTATTAGAAGTAGTGCAAAGTTATCATTTCTGCCATCTAGTTTCTTTTTAGCCCTGGTAATGTAAAAAATATCAAGTATCTAATTCTTAGGATCAGTGGAAAATTTTGTAGGAATAACAACAATATTGCTATTACTGATTACTAAACTTCTAATAATTACTGTTTGTTGGGAGCCATCTCTGTATTAGACTCTGGGTTGTCTATGTACAGAATTTCTAAGACACATCCATCCTTGCACATGAGAAAACTGAACTGAAGTCTTAGTCAAACCAAGATATATTTATCTCCAAAGCCAGATACTTAGCTCCCTAGGGACTGACGGCAGGCACATGCAAAGAAATGTTCAAATGTGAGTCCTGATGAAAGTTCTCTTCAGTTATTTATCAGTTATTACGTTTATGACTCAGGGAAAGATGCTTTTAAATTACATATTTCAGTCTAATAAATTACTCTGGGAATTTACTTAAAATTTTTCCATTTAAAAAAGCTATTAACATAAAATAAATTGCTAGCTTGCGTAATCACCCAATATAAAGATAGGGAAGACCTGTAAGACAGCTGTAAAGTCAAATAATGGTAACTTATCTGCATGGCTTCTGTAGGAATCTCCTTATCCATGTACGTACTGGATTGTTTTTTGTCCACTTCTCCAGTGTACTATTTCAGGCACAAGCTCAACATTTGGACCCAGATGGTCCACCTGTTAAATCTGTTGACTTTTTTTAGTTCTGATCTCTGCTAAATCTGCTAAACCCTGTCTGTGGCCAGGCTCTTACAAGGACTTTTAGTTGTAAAATTAATCTACTTAGCAGAGGACTTAAGAGGGTATATGACTTTATGTCAGTTGAGATTGGCTTTGAACTTTCCTTGGGTGAAGTTGGGAAGCCGGAACTCTGTATTTATCGTGGGGATATCTTTAATATGTTTAATTCAGACTTTTCTTCAGACTCTTGTTCTTTAAAATCATGTAAGTAGGCTATGGTCTTTGTAGTCTTCTAGGTTTTCATTCAGTGGTTGTACCAACATTGAAGCCATCCTTGCTTCTGAAAAAGAAGTGTGGAACAGAGAAAAATCAGCTCTTCAGAAATCCTTGAAAAGGGCAGAGGCTGAAGTGTACAAGCTGAAAGCTGAACTAAGAAATGATGCTTTACTTCACAATCTCAGCTCCGATTCTGAACATGTCACTTTAAAGGTAGGAGACATCTTCCATCTAAAACATACATCACAACTGGTTTTCTTTTTGCCTTGTTTCATCTCTCACTGACCTTAATCGAACAGACTAAAGAAATTTAGGTGGCACTCAGGCTGCGTCTCTAGGTCTCTTTATTCGTCTCTGTCACGAATGCAGGTCTCTAGCTGGTCACAGGTTTGTGGAGAGGCATGTCCAGGATTGGGACTAGATTAAGCTCTATTAATAATCACAGTGAGAGCACCCTGAGCTCCTGGTTCCACTTCCTGCAATGTCTTCCCTAGTAGACCAGCAGAACGTTATCTTCTCAACTTCTAACAAGAGCTGCACTGCTGTCAGTGTAAGAGCATCACGCTCTGTGAGATGGGAAGCCCTCTGAGTAGCCTCTCTAGTGACTAATAATGAATACTGTAGTAAAACTACCTTCATCAGTTAACACAAAATCCAAAACAAAAAAAAACTTTTGGAATATTTATTCCAACCGTATAGTGAATATAAGTTTATGACTTTTTTCTTTTTTTGTAAGAAGCAGGATCTCGCTCTGTCACCCAGGCTAGACTGCAGTAGTGCGATCGTAACTCACTGCAACCTCGACCTTGAACACCTGGGCTCAAGCGATCCCGCTGCCTCACCCTCCAGAACAGCAGAGACTACAGGCATGCACCACAACACCTGACTAATTTTTTAATTTTTTGTAGAGATGGGGTCTCGCCATGTTGCCCAGGCTGAAGTATAAAGGCTAAAGTTAATTTATCCTAACTTTCATCCTTGCTGATAAAGTAGAAAACAGTGTTAGGGTACTTGCCATTCTATTACTGCTACTACTACTACTTTTTTCTTGTTGTTAAAATCTAGGTTATTTTCCCCTAGAGAACAATTGAATGCCCTCTTAATGTCATTATGTTCTTCCTTCTTTAAAAATAGAGAATTTATGGTAAATACCTGCGGGCAGAAAGTTTTCGAAAAGCTCTCATTTATCAGAAGAAATACCTGCTGCTGTTACTGGGTGGGTTCCAGGAATGTGAAGATGCCACCCTGGCCCTGCTTGCCCGGATGGGGGGTCAGCCGGCCTTCACAGATCTAGAGGTGATCACCAACCGTCCAAAGGGCTTCACGAGGTTTCGGTCAGCTGTCAGAGTATCCATTGCAATTTCAAGGTAAAGTACTTGAAAATGCATTTTATTGATAGACTCTCTAAAAGGATTAGTTATTTTTAATCATCCCTCTTTTCTTTTCTGGTTATACTCCATATTTGTATAGTAGGTGACCTCCCAAAGCCTCACCCGTGCTGGCTCTTGAAACAGGAGCTCAGGGTTTAGCTTATTGTTGGCCTTCGACTCGACTCGCCTCTACTCTACTCCATTCCACATTGTAGTCCCCTGGTTTCAGTTCCTCCTTTCTCACCTTCATTCCCTCCGTCCCCTTGTACAGGGTAAACCAGGGTAAGTGTTGGTAGGTGCACTGATGAAAAAGACATAGTCCCTGCCTAAATCCATAAAGGCAGCTCACTTTCTAGCGGAGAAGACCAACATGCATGGAACTTAGAAGACACTAAATAAGTAGGAGTTCACAGGAGTTAGCCGGTACTTTTTATTAGAGGAATTTGAGGCGGCTCCGTGAAAGCAGCGTAGAAGTTGCTATTGAAGGACTTCACTCTGCTACCCTCTTTTTCTTCTTTTGTATGGTTATTGTATTTCGACCCTCCTTAGACTGAGCCTGGAAACTGGTTAGAAATAAGAAAACTGGCCTTCCAGAAAGCTCCTTGGGCCAAGATGCAGTAGGCAGCAACTTGTCGTAGCTGGTTTATGACACTAATACCCCCATTCCTTTCAAAACCAGTATTGTTTTTTGTCCCTGATCAAAGAGCCGAGAAGAGCCTCACCCATCTTCCAGCTCTCCCAGTACACTCTTATTGCCAATTGAAGGGTCTTTTTGTTCTTTTCTATCTCATCTACCCTTTATTCTGCATTCTTTTCTCTACTTCTCATTACTTCTCACCATTTCTTTGCCAACCTACTTTTTTCCTGTCTACGTTTGCCCTCCATCTCTTTTGCCCTGTTTATCCCTAAATCCAGAACCTGATGCTGGCAATAAGAGACCTCTCGTGCCACTTGGGAAGAGGGTGATAGGCTCTCGAAGCCTGTTCTTAAGTTCCAGTTGATTTTGCCACAAACCAGAGGGCATTTACCTAGTTTGGGCAATCGTGATTATTTTGAAATTTCTTCTGCATTCATATTTAAATGCATGACTTGATTTGTGTATAAAATATATATTTGTACTCTTTACATTATAGATAATGCTGTGAAATTTTATCTTGGAATTTTTTTTAGAATGAAATTTTTGGTTCGACGGTGGCATCGAGTCACGGGTTCTGGATCCATCAATATTAACAGGGATGGCTTTGGTCTGAATCAAGGTGAAGTCAAAATAGCAAATTTTCTCTAAAATTACTGGCGTGTATAATACCTTCTGAATAATTAAAGAGCATAATAATGGCTGCTTTTATGGATTACTTTGTCTGCATTAGGCCCCATGCTCTTTTCATGTATTCTCCCTATCCTGTGATGTAAGTACGATTATTATTTTTACTTTATAGATGAAAAACTGAGGCATGGAAAGCACATGGTATTTGCCCCAGATCACCCAGTAGGGAAGGGAGGGAACCAGGACTGAACACTGGCAGTCTGGCTCCAGAGCCCACTCTTCTTGTGCCGACTTTTAAGTCCCTGCTTCAAGACAGAGTTGCTGTTAATCACATGGAATAGTTATGGTTTGATATTTTCATAATTTAGCAATACTCATACAGGTTTCTGAGTTTACCAATAGGTTGTGTGATAATGGTAACAGTTAAAATTCCTTCTCTCTACATCTAGAAGTGGAAACAAACTACGGCTTAAATATTCAGGGCATAAAGATGAAGTCAGAAGCTGGGAGCACATAGACTTACAGAGATACAGAGATTACCCGTGCTGTATATTGATATTAAACCACCTTTATTCTACCAGTAGCTAAACAGAGAAAGGGGAAATATTTTTGGTACCCTGAGCAAATTATTTTCAAATATCATTACAATGAACAGCTGAAATTTGTCCCATGATGAGTTTTATGTTGTATTGAAAGTTAACAAATCATGATTTCAAGTTTTTTCAATACATCAGTAGAGTGGAGTGATAAGAGGACTTGGTTACATTAGTCTAATTGTCTTTATCCACATGATCTTTTCCCACAAGCCACATACACTCAGACACCTCTCACCTCTCATCTAGTTATAGCCAAGAGGTCTTTTAAAAAGAAATACTCTAATTAAATAGTTAATTTTCTTTGAGGCATAGTTCCAGATATGAGAAATACTCATATTCAGAGATAAACAAAATAACATTTGAAAGCCAAATTTTTGTTTGTACTGTTGTTTCTCTCCTTTAGTAAGAATAATTGAAAATGACTGTAAGTAGGAGATGGTGGTATAGTACAGTATAATCATCTTTTGAGACCTTATCTGTTTTGTAAAAATTTTTCAAGGGCTTGGAATTTTTTCTTTACAAGGTACTGTTTGGATTACTTTAGGCACTGAAAAGACTGACCCATTTTATCATTCTTCTGGTGGGCTTGAGCTATATGGAGAGCCAAGACAAACTACCTATCGTTCAAGATCAGATCTGGACTATCCTAGGTCTCCTTTACCATTTCAAAATAGGTAAGAATTTGAGAAAACCTGCCTGGAGTAGCTAAATGTATTTAATAGAGAAAGATAGACATTGTTAGGGCTTTGACTTCTTTGCATCGAGATGGCTAGACATCTTTAGTTGTATATGATTTACATAATCTAAGGCTCAGAATCAAAACTAGTTTTTGAATTTATAACTGGTTTCCAAGGGTATAGGAAACAAAGCTGACCAAGTGTTATTTAGTATATGCTGTGGTTAGACAGATATTGGGAAAAGTATTGACTAAAATTAATAGTCTCTGAACATAATGAAAAACTTTACAGTCTGCATGACAAGATGCTTTTATACATATCTAATATTTATTGAGGACTTCTGCAACAAGCATTGTAGTGGGCATTGTTATGATGACTTAGTAGCTTCTTTAAATTCGTTGAAGAGCTGTTTCTTTCTCATCTCAAACTCAGAAGCACAGGAGATGTGGATTAGGCAAGGTACAAGTGGCCTCCCTTTTGGAGGAAGTAGGTGGAGGTAGATGGGTAACTTACTTGCATTGTTTCTGGATAATTTGGATTCATGTACGTATTTTTAATCCTGTAGGTATCCAGGCATTCCAGCTGATTTAAATCCTGGTTCCCTAGCATGTTCTCAGCTTCAGAATTATGATCCTGACAGAGCCCTGACAGATTATATCACTCGGCTAGAAGCACTGCAAAGACGACTTGGAACTGTACAGTCAGGTACTCTTAAGTTTAACCATGTATTGGCAGCATCCCAGTGCTAGACCCACAGCACTCCTCTCTCTGAAACTCCTTGACTCATCATTAGGATGATCAAATCTTGCAGTTCAGTTCATGAGTTATCAAGTTAACCAAAGCTTAAATTCTGTGTAACTAGCAGAGAAACTGACTTGTAAAGGCTTTAAGTTAAGACATGATTTATCACCCTGGATCCCACTTCCCCCCAAAAGTTTCTGCTGTCTTCATTCAGCAGATTGATTAGGCAGAACGCACGATGAGCACCAATGTACAAGGTAGTCTGAGGCTACAGGGTTTACTGGAGAACAATTCCTAAGTAATGCATGTTAGAAAGTATTATAGTAAGGCATGCAAATTGGAGGTATGGAGGAGGGAGGAGGAAGCACATGATTTAAGCACTTAATGCAGTCATTATCCCTACTACTACATTGTGCTTTTTATGTATAATCCAAAACACTATCCCATTTAAAAGACTTTGCAAGCATGATCTTTTAATTTTTGTTCAAAAACACCAAAAAATGTCATATTTTATAATAGAGGTGGATTTCTTGTTCATTGGAGGAAAACCTATTTTCCCCATCTCCCTTCATTTCACTCCTGATTCAGGGACTTTGAATCATTTTAAGTGATTGTGTTCTAAGTCATCTTTTATATTATGTTTTACTTTTATTTAGGACCCTTTTGTTCCTACTAGTCCCACAAACTGTGGGCTATTTTACAGGTTATTTTAAATTAGTAGTTTATCTCTTCATTCAAAAAATAACTTGTTTATTAACTCCAGCAACTTGTAGTAATAGGAAACTTTCATTAGCATAGCTGGGGTTTGTTGGTTGGTTTGGCTTGGCTTATTTTGCTTTGAGCATCCAACTTTCACATGATCCAGATTTTGAAGACCAAAAGATTTTTCAAGATGTATAAGGTATATATATTATAGAACATTCAACTTCACAGCACTTTGAAGAAACTCTTAATATTAGTCTCACTTACCTTGCTATAGAGCCAGTCATGGTGACTTTTAAATATATATTCAAAATCTCTTTTAAAAATGAGTGCAAGTATGAATAAGACATTTTAAGGGGAAAAAAGGCAATTTGTAAATAGAGGACAATAGTAATCTGCTTTGCCTGAACTAGTTAGTCTGATATAGGTAGCAACCTAATTTGAGATCATTTAAATGTCCTGTTTTTCTCTCATAGGTTCAACTACTCAGTTTCATGCTGGCATGAGAAGATAATCCTTTGAAACATCATTAATTGAAGTGATTTTAAACAAATTTCCTTTTGTAAATCAATGGTTCTTTTGTGTTTTTGTATTGTGAATATTCAATGGGACCAGTACAAACACAGCTTATGATTGTATACAAATCCCTCACCAGAACATGAAAACTGGAATTTGTATATATAAACATTGTGCATGTGTTCATGCACAGTAATCATTAAATTACATGTATATTTGTGGAATGCTAATTTAAAACATTAAATTATAAACCTTGTGTATTTATCAAATGGGTGAAAAGATTAAACTTTTGCGCATTATGATATTGCTGAATGTGTAGCTTGAGGTGTCCTGCACTTTTCTTATAAGGCTACTGAAGTTACATGTTTCTGCCTAATATATTTGCTACTGGTGATGAAGACAGATATCACTTGTAGAGACCTATTTTTGTATAATGGTAGAAGTTTTGAATTTTATGGGGTATTTTGTCAAGTACTGAAATAAAAATGACTTCACCATTTTCACCACACTGTATTTGAACTTTCTTCATTTTTAACTGCATAGTTCTTGGTGCATATCATTTCAATTACTTGCCTCAAATATGTTGGACTTGGGAATTCGGTAAGTTGTCCTAATCTTAGAATTAGATACTGTTGGGGTTTTCTCTCCCTCCATTGAGGAAGAAAGTTTTGCATGTGCCTTTGCATCAACTTTACGTCTATGTATAGTGTTTTTACAAATCCATGGCCAAGATGATGCAGAAATCATTTAACTCAAATAATTTTAATCATAATGCAGAACAATTATAAACAGTATTCCCACTGTCCAAGCCAAATTCAGATTGAGAAGTTCTTACAGATATAATACAAATCCCAAAGTTATTTCTTATCTGGAGTCCTCCCCTTAGTAACTTACTAAAACAGCAAGAGGAATAGTATTTGATGCTTATATTCAGAGGTAATTGTCTTATTGTTTGATGTTTTTATACCAACACAAACACAGGCATTGTAGCAAGTTGTGCGTTCTTAAAAATTTCTAATTACAGTTGTCCCTTAGTATCTGAGGGGAGTCCTGGAACCAGTCCCCCAGGGATACCAAAACCTGCAGATGCTCAAATCACTTACAAAATGATGTGGTGTTTGCATATAACCTATGCACATCTTCCCATATACTTTCAGTCATCTCTAGGTTACTTATAATAAATACCTAATACAATGTAAACGCTATATAGTTGATGTCCTTTTATTTGTGTTATTTTTTGTCGTATTTTTTAAATTATATTTTAGAATATGTTCAATCTGCAGTTGGTTGAATCTGAAGATGCAGAACCCGCAGATATGGAGGGCCAACTATACTTAAATTTTCATATTAGCAGCTGGATTCCGATAAGAAGCTGTGGGTAAAAACCTTTTTCAGCTATGCCATTCAAGAATATTCTGCTTTAGGACACAATGGAGAAAAAAGAACAAATGGATAAATGCTCTGATTAAGCCGGGTTCACTCCCATTATTTGACCATCAACCTTCCTTATGATATTAGGTCTCTGTGATCACACTTGTTCATGCTGCTCAATAATTAGTCTGTGGTTAAAAAAATCTGTTGAAGTCTAAAACAAACTGTTCACACTAACCAGACTAGCCTTACCTTGGGTTCTTAACTTTTGTGTTACGAACCTCATTCCCAGTCTAGTGAGACTATAGGTCCTTTCTCAGAATAATCCTTTTAAAAACAAAATATATAGGATTGAAAAAGGATACCAATTATATAGAAATAGTGGTCAAACCTTTTAAAATTATGATATATATAAGATTAAAGCATCAAATAAGATTAGTGGTAAGTTACTAGAGTTTACTAATCTAGCACTAATTAACTGATTACTTACCAATTTCTAATTAATTGGTGAGAATAAAAGATACTCTTGAGGTTTGCAACATTTGTAATGTAATATGAAAATATCTCTGATTTCTACTGACAAAATCATGGATACTGTTAATAGTATGGTTTATTGCCTGAATTCATAACTGAATGAAACACGAAACTGGGATTAGAAATTAGTGCAAATAAAGATGTAATTTTCCCCAACCAAATCCCTAGATTCCCTGAACTCTACTAACTAAAGCAAACACCTTAAAACCCATGAATACAGAGTCTGCTTTTCTCAAAGAAAATTTTATGTGAAAAATTGTCTGACAGAGATTTTTTTCCTCTACAATTAGAGTTTAACATGAGTCTTCCAGCATTTTAAACAGGACTGTAATATACATAAGGGAAAACATTTTGGCCTCATCTAGTAAAAAGATGAGGCTATATGGTCAAATTATAGATACCTCATATAGTTGGGTCCCCAGTTATAATTTGATTCCTGAACACAGACTTTATGTAACGTGACTGACTGATTATACTATTCCGAAGGACCCAGAGTTCCCTGATCTCACATTTTAGAAAAAAGTTTAACCATTTTAATCAACAGAACTAATAACAGAAACATCCCTAATTGGATTCTGGAAAAGAAGCAGGGAACAACTGTGAGCCAAAGAGAAGAAATAAAATTATCCCCTAAGGAATTTGTGGACTTTCACACAGATGTGACCTTGTACAACCAGATACATATTATTTACCCATTTGAGAAATATGTAATATTTAATAATTAAATCAAGACATATGAACAGTCTTTAGCATTAATAATTACATTATTTTCAGGAAATATTATCAAGTATGGTCCTAGATCTCTCTCAATTTCCTATAGGCAGTGCTTTCAGTTAAATTTCAAAGGATATATAATTTTTTTCAAACATAGCTCCATTGCTATCATCATACCAAAACAATTAGTATACCCTTTTATTCAAGGCTTTAGATGTGAATTTATTCCCTATTCTCCCATCCTCTCACACACACCAAAAAAATTGCCCAGATAAATGAGTAACTTGTGGCTTTCGTATCTCACCGTACTGTTTTACTTTTTTAAAAAATTTTTTAATACCTTGCAGAACTAATGCAAGATTTGAATACTCTGAAATTTTTTTTCTTTTTCTTTTCGAGACAGAGTCTCACTTTGTTGCCCTGGCTAGAGTGCCATGGCGTCAGCCTAGCTCACAGCAACCTCAAACTCCTGGGCTCAAGCAATCCTCCTGCCTCAGCCTCCCAAGTAGCTGGGACTACAGCATGCGCCACCATGCCCGGGTAATTTTTTGTATATATATTAGTTGTCCAGATAATTTCTTTCTATTTTTAACAGAGACGGGGGTCTCACTCTTGCTCAGGCTGGTCTCAAACTCCTGACCTTGAGCGATCCACCCACCTCGGCCTCCCAGAGTGCTAGGGTTACAGGCGTGAGCCACCGCACCCAGCCTTGAATACTCTGAACTTTAAGAGCTATGTATGCTCTTAAATTTACTACCTGGAAATTATTTAGGATCTGCCAATTACCTAGATCCCCTGAACAATTTTTTTACTAATGAACTTCCCTAAAGCACACGTGTATAGTGAGTATCAAAACTATTAGAAAATGTTTCAAATGCCATTAGATTTGATAGAACCATTCAGTTAATAAAACATTAAAACCGTAAGTTAAACTGGCTTTTAGAATTACTCGATAAAAAGTACACTATATCATAGTTATTTCATAAACTCCATTCTCTTTCAGTGCTTTTGCAGCTTACAGTGATGTATCATTAGTTCCTTGCAGCCTTTTTCATTGTGATCTTCGTTTATAACGGATAACTGGATTTTCAGGGGTGTGAATCATAGTTGTATAATTCACAGCAGGAAAATATCCATCAATGAGGTCAAATTCATATAAACGAATCATAGTGGACCAAATTGTCTTAATTTGAACATATGCAAAATTTTCCCCAATACAACGATGACGCCCTGTAATTAAAAAAAAAAAAACTTCATAAGGATCAGTTTAATATTTATCTACATTCCAGATGAACAGATGTACAGATAGTATAATAAAGAGATGATGTATTATTTTCACATAAAACAAGAATGTAAACAATTAAAAATCCCAGCAGATTTTCAGTGTCAGTTTTTAGGAATACTGCACTTGGCTAATCATATGATGACTTTCCCAATTATATTTTTTGAGTTTTAATATCTATGTGGGTTAAATCTATGGAAGATTTGAGTCATAAGATGGTAATCTAGTTTGAGAATGTAACAGTATTTTTAGTTTCTGTCCCAGGAAAATCCTGGTTAAAAGTCAATATGAGAACCTTCCAGTTGAAACTTCAAATGTCATTACAAATGTTTATGGAAGAAAAAGTGATTTAATAAACCCAAAATAACATGTATATTGAGATCAAAATTTAAAAGGTCATACACACACAGAAACTGACAAGCTGATTCTAAAAGGCATATGGAAATGTAAAGGACCTAGGATCTCCTAAGCAAAGAACCAGGTTGGAGTAACTTCAAAGCTGACTTCAAGGCTAAAAGTACAGCAACCAAAACAGTACGGTACTGGATAAGAATCAACAAAAGATCAATGGAACACAGCAGAAAGCCCAGAAATATTTTTATGCTTATTTGATTATCAACAAAGGTGCTTAAAGCAAGCCAATGAGGAAAAGAAAGTCTTTTCAACATATGATGCTGGAATAACTAGATACTACATGGGGAAAAGAATGAAATTCAATTCCTATCTAATACCATACTGAAAAATTAATTCAAGATGGAACATAAACCATAAATGTTAAAATAATTAAGCTTTAATAGAGAAGAAAATATATTCATAACTTGGTCTAGGCAAATATTTTTAGACATGACCAGAAATAACATTTTAAAAATTGATAAATTAGACTAAACTGAGATTATTCATTTGTCAAAACTCCATGAATGTTACCTTAAGATTTGAGCATTTCATTGTAAAATTATATATCAAAATAAAAAACCTAAACTGATACTGAGTTAGCACAGTACTTGCTTGGTCCGTAACTGCAGTTATTTCTAGGAGCTATATTTGAGGGGCATTTACAAATGTCCATATTCAAATATAACAACTAAGGAGAAGCTTGGCTTAGAGGAAAAATAGTTAAAGGATTATTTTTAATAGCAACAACCTAGAAGTATCCTAACAGAATAAACAAATAGATAAATCCTGATGATTCACAAAATGTAATATCACTACATGCTATATGCAGAAACAAACTGCAAATTACAAAGTAAAAGAATCGTTAAAGAAATCAGAGATACTTAACATGATATTTAACAAGATATTTAGCATGATAATTGTATGCCTCCCAACCCCCAAAAATTCCAGTCCGTCCAGAACCTCAGAATGTGACCTTATTTGAAAACAGGATCTTTGTATATGTAATTAATTAAGATGAAGTCACAGGGTTAGAGTGGACCCTAGAACCAGTGACTAGTGTCCTTATAAGAAGGCCATGTGAAGACAGACACCACAAGGAAGAAAGTCTCTTGAAGACAGAGGCACTGATTGGAGTGAGGCAGCTACAAGCCAAGGATTGCCAAGAGCCACCAGAAGCTAGGAAGAGACAAGGATTCTCCCATAGAGCCTTCAGAAGGAGCGTGGTCCTGCCAATACCTTGATTTCAGACTTCCAGCCTCCAAAACTGAGAAAATAAATTTCTGTTGTTTTAAGCCTCTGAGGTTGTGGTAATTAGTTATGGAAGCCCTAGAAACTTAACACAATGATTGAAAAAAAAGATTGAGGAAACATTATATCTGCATCTAAATATTTCACACAATATAACTTCAGAGACCACAATTGAGACCTATAAATGGGATGTTTAAAATGAAAGACTTGAGCTTTAATATAAGGTTCTAAAAATTGACAGCTGTCCAAAAATGGAATGAGTTGTCACATAAGGTAACTGAGCAACCCACAACCCATTATCTGTAAAATTCAAGTGGAAGTCAGATAATTTACCAGTTTAGAAATTATTCCTCTTTGGGGTAGAATTTGGGCTACAGAACTAATGCCCTTCCAAATGTTAACAATCTATGATTCTTTTAGATATTATGTTATATATCACAGTATTAAATTTATTTATTAAAGTTAAGATCTGAAGTTCCCAAAGGACTTTATACTTTCCTTTATATGTGGAAAAAGTGACCAATGACAAAAAAGTCATCTCTTACTTAAATGATCTCTTTGTAAAGACGAAATAAGAAGTCATAGAATATAGTTTAACCTATACAGAGTACTAATGAACTGAGAAATTATTGGGGGAACAAGGGTCTGCCTAAACTATTTTAGTATCTTCTTGGAAATGAAGTTTGCAAACCTACACACAACCTGCCCAAATTTGAAGACCACTTTATCATAAGGATATTCACAGAGAGCTAAAATGTTGACTAACAATACAGAAAAGCCTTAATTTTTTTTTTTTT